ATGTATTAGTTCTCGGAGGATATTGAATGTGTCCTGTTGCAATAATGGAGGTATCACTGTAGTCAAATGTTAACAGCCTCTGGAAAAACCTTGGTCCGAAGTCGGTGGCTCGTCTAAGGTGTAGAAGAGCCCAAAGCACTCAGATAGGCTGGCAGCAGTGTTGGCTTGTCAAGCAAATGGTGAGACATGTGACAATAATGTTCTTGTGGTTGTGTAGGGGAGGAGCTGCCAATACTCTACATTGTTCATGGCGTACCGGGTGGATCAATCGATAATATTGAGGTTTTTCCATGCCCCATCTGTGCTCGTAGCAGACAACGTCGATGCTCATGTCACAAAAGAATACCCTGTCGCCATTTCGGACCACCTATTCAGCGTCCTCCTATTCAGCGTCCTCGAGGATCTGCCTGCGAACTGCACAAGAGTGTGTCAGCCACTCGACGTTGACATTATGGAGGCATTCAAGAAACTACTTGATACTCCTTGACTGAAGAGGCGCCAGTGCTTCCACGGCCGAGGACTGTATGCCAATGCTCAAGCGATTGTGAACGAATTACTCCCGACACAATTCGAGGATCGTTTGTCAAGGGTTTACCACGTCCGCAGGTTGTGGTGGTGTAAATACATAACGACCAAAGGTGTTATCTTGCTGGTATTACGTAGCCTAGGACAAACGATTTGCGTGAAAAAATTGTGTATTATATTTCACACTTTTGAATTGTAAGTGTGTGAATACTTTGCCCAAGTCAAAAGTTCATGCGTTGTGACAGTTTCTCAAATCTGTATCAATTGTTAGAGGTATTCGTTTTGGCCTATTACTAGTAATTATTTTCGGTGCGTTTGAGACAGTTCACCTGTCGATTTTTTCTAGCGTTTTCTGTGAACATTTCCTAGGCGGGGCTCATCGGAAGCCCCAAGTGGACTTTGACGGCGCAATATTGCGAAATGTAATTGGATAAAGGCGAAGACCCGAGCTCGACGAAATACTAAAACAAGGACTGCGCTGCGAACGAGACCGCCCTGGACGTGCAACTAGACTGGAGAAAAGGAACAAGTTCGGTGCTTTAGTCGTGCCTACGTCGACACAATCTATTTGTACAAGGTCGAGCCTCGCCATCCCGATCGCCCAATTGATACTTCCACCATCGCATGGGTTCACAACCCTGTCGGCACTCACTCAGAGGTGGGACATACGTATCCTCCAGATAGATCCTTTCCAGGCTCATAGAGCAGTTGCAGCTCTCCCCTCACGCTGGACACTGTATTAGTCAGGAATGGAGATTTACGTGAATGGTAAGCGCGGAGGGGTTCTGGCACACACCTCCGTGGACCTGGCGTACGTCTCTGGCGACATGTGCAAGTGGCTAACGGCAATTGACGTTCCAGTACGACATGGGCCACAACGAAGTTGAGTCGGATCGTCCGATCATATCCAACTTGGCCGACTTGAACATGAAAGGCCACGCTCTGGATGACCGACCGCGTAGTCAAATTGTGGTGCCGCCATCTCACCGACATCGATCACTTTTTGCACAAAAACCGGATGAAGGCAATGCCATTCCTGCCGCCGACCCTCGTGTGCCCTGTTTGGGATGCGGGGGATGCGGGGGTGACGCCATTTGTGCACTGATCGGTTTAATTCGCTGCGCAAGAATTCCCATTGCATCAAGTGCGGTGAACTTTGCACTCCAATATCTTTGTCCATGCATCCTTACAAGAATGTGTTTGCAGGTTATGTGCGGCAAGTTCCCAAGACTAGATCAATCCACGTGTCGCGGTGATGTCGTTCAGAAGTTCTTTCCCGCACGCGCTGGCCATATCTCCCTTCAAACGTCCAGTGCTATCGGAAGACCCGACGAGCATTCGTCTGACCATCCCTGGTTGGGGTGGAGAACTGAGCTGTAAGCTGCCATCGCTGCTGACCAATCTGCCTATACAGAATCCCTGGCGGGTATTTGGTCAGTCCACGCTGCTGCGACGAACGTGCATGGCAGGCCACCGAGGAGCCATGCCGAACCCGCCTGCGACCAGCCACACCAATCCTCCAATCTACAATCGTTTACCCACCATTTCGCACCGCGACGTTTTTGGACGATTCGCATTTCGACGAAATAGATGATTTCAGGTGTTCGGTACTGATACCTGTCGATCCCTTCGCACAGCTTGAAGAAATGCTTTCGGTTGTAATACTTGCTGGCTGCAGGGAGAATGACGTGTTTGCTCCGCCGCTGCTTCGGCACGCGGTACCAGCCTGTTTGTACAGCGCGGCGCCGCCTTTTGGGATTATTGCAAGCTGGCCACTGTCATCATGCCCACCCCATCCGTGGCCACTCTTGCCCTCGATCAAAACGAGATGCACTCACGATAGCCACCTCATCGAATGACCCGAAGGGGTATCCTTCAGCCAAGCCCCCTTCGTTCCGTTGCGACCCCTGCGACACGGCGCTTGGTCGCCATGATGAATTGTCCCAAAGGCCCTTCGGCTCTCTGCCTCTCCAGGGTTGTCGACTCGCCACCTGTCACCAAAGTCTGGTTATGTTCCGCATCTTGAACGGCACAGGTAGGATCGTTCAAGTGCCACCAAATTTGCCAACAACATCGCAGTACTTTCACACATTTCCACCCAAACACCTCGAAATTACATGATTGTATTGAGTCACTTGACGCAGTGTGGGTGGCGCTATTTTATGCACAGTGCACCACTCCGAGCTATTCTGAACGAGTGGGGTGGTGGACGCTGGTGGTGGGTGCGTACGTCAACAAAGGTCAGTCTAGTCTCTGCCTGCATTTGTCATCTAGGTGGCCTCGACTATGTCGTTGAAGCTTCCTCTGCCGCCGGGGTTCTTCCAGTGCCCGCCGCTGTCATCGGAAGAGAATGCTCGGTACATGGAGATTGCCAAGCAGAGCGTGCAAGACTTGGTATTGGTGTCGCAGAGGTGACGCCTCTGACGCGCGTCTGACGTAGGTGGCCAAAGCCCGCATCAAGGACGGGCCCGTCAAGTGGACTATGCTTTCAAACGAGTGTGACTTGAAGGTTTACAAGGGTGAAGGTCATGGGACGACGGCGAACAGCGACATCCACTGCGCCACGATGGAAACCGTCGGCCACTTGGACGAAGTCATGCGACTGTATCGAACCGACACGACCGAACAAGCCAAAGAATATGTCCAGCGGTTCAGCCGCGCGCTGGTTGACACGATCACGCTGTACACGATCTTGCCCCGGCATCCCGATCGCCCCAACAACTGCATTCAAATCAAGTGGTTCGTCGCCAAGAGCCCGTTCGACGGCCTCGTCACCAAGCGCGACTTTTGCCTTCTTGAGGTACGACCGACTTGTGTGGCTCGATCGTGTGTCTTGCTTCGACTGCGCGACTTGGCTCCGTGCATGCAGAGTGGATATTTGTTCTTTCGATGCCTCGAAAAGCGAACTTGCATTCGTCCCAGGCGGTCCCACAGCATTTCTCATCGTGGTTTGGTGCCGTGCGCGCAACTGCTTGCGCTGGCGGCATCCGTTTGAGCACGACATTTTGACTTGTGCTTGATGGCGTAGTCGGATTTGGAATTTGAAGTCAATGGCAAACGGGCGTGGGTACGTGCATACAAGTCTGTGGACCTGGCATGCGTGCCAGATTTGCGCCAGACGCTGAACCTCATTCGGGGGTACCAGTACGACATGGGTCATGTCTTCATTGAGTCGGACCGACCGGGATACTTGGACATGACGTACCTCGCCGACATGGACGTGAAGGGTATCGTTCCCGACTGGGCTAACGACCAAGCTGTCATCCAATGGTGCCGTAACCTCTCTGACATCGATCGATTCCTGCGCGAAGATCGTCTGAGTGGATCGCCGTTCCTGCGCCCCGACCAACTATGTCCGCTGAGCATGCGCAAGCGATGCTATCTGTGTCAGAAACGGTTTGGCCCCCTGCGCAAAAAATCCAACTGCGCCAAGTGCGGCGAGGTTCGCGCTTCCTACAACCATCCTGACCCCTGCCTGACGAGATTGGACTTTTCGTTCTTAGGTACTATGCCACAAATGCAACAAGGTGTGGCAGGTCAAAGTAAATGGCACCGCTGCAATGGTCAAGTGCTGCTTTCCTTGTTCGCTGAAGGGGTCGTCGATAGCGATCGGCGTGGGGGCCGGCCCTTCGAAGGGCCACCTTGTACGGAATGCCAACGAAGGCGAAGACGTTATCACTCTGCACTCGGACCCAGCGAGTCCCCAGTGGGGCGCCGAGTCGACATTTGACGGGTCAGCATCCCACTGCACCTCGGACGACCAATCCAACTATAGCGAATCGATGGCCGGGTCGTACTACAGGCAAGTTGTGCCGCCATACTATTCCGCCACCCCCCCTTCGAGCTCCGGTAGCAGCGGGATGCACCTGAACCACCCCCGTTACCAGCAACCCCGCACCCCCGCCTGGTCCACGAGCTCCTCCAGTCAGAAAGTACCCCACTCGCCAACGCGAGACCCTATCATTCTTGAGTAAACTTCACGTGGGCATGGCTTGGTGCTGTTTGCAATATCGATCGCGCAGAATTCGTTATGTACTCGAGTGAAGGGCTGCGCACGTGCACGTGAACGACAAGCGTGCAATAACGATGTCAAAGCCCCGACATTAATCACATTACCAGGGCATTCCTTTCCCACATAAACGATCGGAGGCAACGCATTTTTCAGTGCGTTGACCAGCAACGGCACATCGAGGACTGAACGTGGGTTTGGATCGATTGACATTGGAAAAGAGACATCCTCGCACTGCTCATCCAATAATCATCTTCACAGTCAAAATACCCTTAAGTTTTTGCAGCACCGATCTCCTCTTGTACATGATGCTTCTTTGTACCATGATTAGATCACAGTGCAAGTTACTCAGTAACAACACACAGCAAAGAAAGACCGAGTGTCTACCAATTCAGCCTGAAATCTGCGAGGAAGACAAGATGAATCTGTTGTCAGAGGACTTGAACGAGTATGACTAAGTGATACAAGGAGTTTGCGAATATAGTACAGAGTATTCTATCACAACTGAAAGATAGGTTCAATGCACAAGTTGTATTCAATTCCCTTTATTCGACACCTGGATAATCATGGCGTCCAGACTGCAGGCGTCGTCTTCTGTTGGCTCTGTACGTGGCCTGTGTCAATTTGCGCTTTCGAGCCATTTCGTCAGCAATACCGGCCATCTTGTGGAGTCTTACAGTAGGCCCCTAAACCAGATACTGATAAAACAATTGAATACTTGTATGTTTCCATTATAAGTGTAGAGTATAACTGGCCCACTGACGAAGTCATCAGATACACCGAAT